AATAAAGTCCCCTTGCGTTTCAGCGTAGGAGGAAATGCTGCCATTCGTGACATAGAGCTTGGGATGCTGAGGGGGGTCCAGGGATGGATTGCACGTGTGTTAATTCCCCGTCCCCAGTGTCCTGACGTTGTGTCTTGGAGAGGGTGTCCCAGGGAGGTGGAGGAGACGGTGGGCGATGAATGTGGTTGTGAGCATCACCCACCAGTGGAGCTGGGGCTGTGGGAGCCGGTGGGAGGGAAGGGGTTCACCACCCTGTCTGGCACAGCACAAAGAAACAAAAATAGTGGCCAGGGATTGCTGGAGGGCAGCAACGGAGCTGAATACACACCGGTACCTGCCCATCACCCACTGTCTGTCACCCACTGTCCGTCACCCACTGTCCATCACCCACTGTCCGTCACCCACTGTCCATCGCCCACTGTCTGTCACCCACTGTCCACCGCCCACTGTCCATCACCCACTGTCCATCACCCACAGTCTGTCACTCACTGTCCCTGAGCAGGAGTCACCAGGCTGCCCTGGTGATGGAGGTGGCTCAGCCCAGCCTTGCAGCACAAGGGGGTGCTGGGATGCGTCGAGTGTCTCAGAGACAGACGGGAGGGCCTGGAAATACCCTGAAAATCTCTGAAAAGTGTGTCAGGGTTCCTGCCTGGGCCTGAAATCTTGGATTGCTGGGAATAGTCTTTTTTTTTTTCCCTGTGAAATACTTTGCCTTAGGCTGAAAACCAGGCTGGTTTTTAGGGTATTTAAACTGCCATCGCTGTTGAACCGTGTCAGCCCATTAACACGGACAGAACAGTTAATACCCTCCTCCTCTTTATAAGAGTCGACAGGATCAACATTGGGAAGCTTTCATGTGTCACTTGGCAAAACCATGGAAAGCTTGAAGTCTTCAGTGAATGGCTCAGCTCCATTTTAATAAAGTCTTTCCACTCTCCCAAAGTAGATAATTCCTCCTTATTTAATAAAAAATTTTCTACGTGCCAATGGCACGAGGCAGGGAGCATGTGCTCTTTGTAAAGAACTCGATAGCTTTGAGGGACCCCTCCTCACCTTTGGAACCTTCTGCAACCATTTCAAGTCTTCCCAAAGCGTTCAAGCTGAGAAAAACAACTTGTCCCACAATATTTCTAGAAGTGAAGAGGTTTCTCCCACTTTGTGAAAATTGCCCTGGTTTTGGATCCAGGCCCACAGCTACTTCCATGTGGATTTACTGCCTGCAGCCGTGCAATGAGGGCAGAGCGAGTCTGCTGCCCAGGGATGAAGAGGTTGAACACGGGCACCGTCCCCGGCTGCACCACGTGCAGGATGGTGTCCAGCCAGGTGGGGGTCACCCAGAGCAGGTGGCTGTGGCTGGAGAAGACGGGGCTCTCCAGTTGCAGGAGCAGCTGTGTGCACCCTGGGAACCCAAGTCATGGAGCAT